AGTCAGGCTCCTCCATAGCAGAAAAATCTTACCAGAACAGTCCCAGCTCAGATGATGGTATCCGACCTCTTCCAGAATACAGCACAGAGAAGCATAAGAAGCACAAAAAGGAAAAGAAGAAAGTCAAAGACAGAGACCGGGACAGAGACAAAGACAGAGACAAGAAAAAATCTCACAGCATCAAGCCAGAGAATTGGTCTAAATCGCCCATTTCTTCAGATCAGACATTGTCTATGACAAATAACCCAATCTTATCTGCAGACAGGCCTTCAAGGCTCAGCCCTGACTTTATGATGGGGGAGGAAGATGATGATCTTATGGATGTGGCCCTGATTGGCAACTAAGAACCTTTTTTTCTAAACATGTGTCCAGAGAAAAAAATTAATGATATATTTACATGTAAACCAACACAAGGGGTGAGTCAGATAGGCTCGATTTGTGCTTAAGAGTCCTAATGGACATGACCTCTACACCAAGCTGGGTACACTTTAAAAGTATATCTAAACCCTACTAAAGGGACCATGGGGTTGGTCGCTCACCAACAAGTCATATTTCTTTGCCAGAAAGAAATGTTAAAAAACACTTGCTTAAGAAAGGGAGGGGTGGGAAAGGGTATAGAGAGGGACGGGTGGGAAAACTGTTGTGGGAAATATTCATATATATTTTTTCTCCCTTTTTCCATTTTCAGGACATGCTTTAAACTCATTTTAGTGCATGTATTTGAAGGGCTGGGCAGAAAATGAAAAAAGCAATACATTCCTTGATGCATTTGCATGAAGGCTGTTCACCTTTGGTGGCTGTCCATTTGAAGCATGGGCAAGGGAAAGACTTTGGTGGTTTTGGACACTTAAAGCAATGTTTGGTGTCTATTTCATAGGAGTGATTCGGGGAGGGAAAATTATTTTAGCTATTTATTTGTAATATTTTAATCCTTAATGTTTGTTTTTATGCAATGTTTGTTCTTAAATCTATGAAGGTTATGGTTCAGAATGATAGGCAGGAAGGGCAAGGTTTATTTGATGGTGGGGATCTTGTAGCTTTTGCTGATGCTGCAGCATCAAACCCACACAGGCTAATCAGAGCCAGTCTTTGGAAATTAGAAAATAGAAAAACCAAAACTATTGTCTTTGGAGGTTTTTCACAGGGTTCAGACATCATAGGAATAATCGGAGTTACCGCCCTAAGCAGTTAAAAATGTATCTTTTTTGTTAAAAAGGAAGGGTGGCTTTTGGGAGTATAAGTATGTTTTCGATTCTATACCCCATGGTATGAAAACCATTACAGAATTAATAGTTCTCCTAGTTCCACAATGTGCCAAAAGTCTACATCCCAGCATTATGTTTGCAGCAGAGCTGATGCCATTCCTAAGAGCTGGACTCTTTGTTTCTCTTCATCACAAGAAAGAGGAGTTCAGACTTAAGTCACTCTACTGTATGCTCCCCGAGATAAACAGTTTAAAAATGCAGCCATAGTTCACTTAAAACAATTTCAAGCTCACTTGAAGTAATAGGAGCCTGGAATGCTAAGTGAGCATGAAGATAAACATTGCTACTGTGTAGCACACAGTTGGACCTTTTTGGAGAAACAGGTCTGAGTCTGGATTCTGAGGGACATCAAATGAAGCCCTTCTCATAAATAGAGAAATCCAGGAGACCATTTGAGTGCAACAGAAATAAATTCTCAGTATTTGGAGGGTCCTCTCAAAAATCCGCGGCCTTACTTTGATTTTGCCACCTGCACTGTGCCATTCCTGATGGTTCCGTTCAGGATCTGTATCAGCGGGATGGGGCATAATCCCAGCACAACTCTTCTGGATTACAAAAAGGAAAAAAAAAGCCAGGTGATTCATGTTTGTGTATGTTATAAGTGGAGTGACTTCATCAGATGCGGACGATTTCTATCTGTATCCAACTCTGCAGGTTGGAGTTAGCATAGACTTGGAAAATCTACTGTGGCTTTCTTTCCTGACTGTTTCTCAATTCCTTTGGTGTTCTCCCTTTTCTGATCATTGGTTCTCAATAACTCTGCCATTTCTGTGTCCCAAGGCAATAAATAGGAAACAAAACTTTGTAAAGTGGAGTAAGAAAAGTTACCTGTTACCCTATCAGAGTCTTGGGTGACACTAATGAGGACATGGGGAAGGTGACACTGGAGTGTTTTATCTTGTGGTGCTGATGCAGGTGCAGTGTCTCAGATATATAACCAGGTTGGATTTCTCAGAAATTTGCACCTGGTTCTGAATCTTATCCTCTTAATTTCTGCAGGAAAGTTAAAATTATGTGGTGTTGCAGTTTGTTCTGGGTGGGGATGATCTCATGGGGAAATGTACTGCATAGTATAAGGGGCTCAGTCCCCCCAAGCAGAGCCAACAAATACCAAAATGAGTAAACTGGGAAGCTTTTTCTCTCTTTCTGTCTTCATCCCAGATCAAAGCATCCCGAGTTAGGATCTGGATGAAGGATAAGCCCCTGAATTGTCGATGGGCACACCCCACACAATGACCCAGCATCTGAACTTGCTTAACAGGGAGCCGGGGCTAAACTGCTTCACCCTGCCTGGGAACCAGGGAGCACTGCATTTCTCCACAGGGTGGAGGAGAAGAGGCAGAATAAACCAAGCCTGGAACACCTCCCTCCCATCCAGGTGTACTCATTCTCCTGTTTCAAAAGACGACAAGGACATGAAATCAACTTCTACCTGTTTGCTGCTGCTGGACTTGTATTTTTAGTTTGACCTGATTATTCTGTCTTTTGACTTCATGTTAAGGGTCTTTGGGAAAAATCTGCTCTGATGTACAAGAATATTTCAGATTCAAAGTCAGTGTATCTTAAAACAAGTATTTTCAAGGTGAGGACGGGACCTGATATAATTGCCAAAGCGAGCTTAAGGTTGATAACCCTTGGATTGGGTTTTCATTTTGTTAGGCCAAGGTTTGCAAATCTAGAACAGCAATATCATGAGTTTTCAGAAAGAGCCAGTGAGTCACATAACATCCACAGTTGTCACAGCAGATGTCAGTATAGAAAACATTCACAATCACTGAGTAATATCATTTTCTATTTTATTTTCATCTTTAACTCTGCCCCACAATTATTTGTCTTAGAGTTAACTTTTAGAGGGGCAGTAAGTATTATCTTAGAAACTAGGTTGGGAAGCATGCTCAATGATAGAGCTGAGCTTTAAATTTTGAGTTTAAAAATGTACATCAGGAGCAGTGGGAAGGGTCTTAAAGTATTTCCAATATGATTTTCTGTGTGTATGGCTGTTCTGTAAATATTTTGGTTTTTTTTTTTTCATTTTTTGAAGTGAACAAAATCTGTGGGATTTTCCCCCTATAAAACATTACAAAAAAAACCCTGTTTCTTTACATACAAATAAATTTCTTTGATAAAAATTAATGTGCTTCTGAAGGGTTGGTTTGTTTGTTCTTTAAAACGGGTCACTATGCAGCCCTGGCTGGCTTGGAACTCACTATGTAGACCAGGCTGGTCTCTTCATCTTCCCTTCCTCCCTTCCCAATAGTTAGGGTAATGGGCTTTTGTTGGTGGTTTTGTGTCTCTTTAAGACAATGGCTCTAGCTAGCCCAGTAGTCCAAAAGCTTGCCTTGTAACACAGTATGAGCCAGAACTCCGTGCAATCCTTACTGCATCAGCCTCCTGAGTGCCATTTTTATGTTTTTTTTTTGTATCTTGCAGTTGTTACACTAATCTTTTGTTTTTTTCATTACCTGAAAGTAAAGCTTAAGTATGTAGGATTCAAAGAGAATGCAATATGAATGTAGTTTTTTGTGGGCCCAGAATTGGTTTAGGAAGGCCTCTTTAAGGGGAAAAAGAAAGTTTGTCCAGGGTTGGTGACATGCCTTCAATGCCAGAACTGGAGAGTCTGAGGCAGATACAGAGTTCCAGGATAGCTGGGGTTACATAAACCTTGTTTCAAAAATACTTAAAAAAAAAAAAAGTGTATTAAGTGGCTTAAGGTCAATAGGCTAAAATAAGTCTTTTTAAAAGGTATGCAACACTTGTTGCTCTTAAATGTTCATCTTGATCGCATTCAAATTAAGGGTGTGAGGCAAACTCGTAACTACTTTGAGTATACAAGTAAAAGAATTGTGGCTTCAAGGAGCTCTGGCGCTATTTATGTTTTTAATATTTAAGGATTGGTACATTGTTTAATTTCTCTTTGAAGGGACAGCTCACTCTGGATTGTTTCATAATTCATGAACAATAAGAATCCTGAAGGCTGGAGTTTACATTAATAATATGAGGACACGGACTAGTTTCTATACTGGTAGCCTAGTCCAATGAAAGTTCTGCGGGCAAACGCCCCCGCCTACTCGCTCCTACATGCTTGTTTCTCCCGCCGAAATGGCGTCAGGTTGAAGTTCTCACCATCCAGCGTCCTGATTGGAGGGTGGGCAGCCATTACAGCCCATTGGGTGCCACCGGTCGGAGGGGGCGGGGATGCCAAAGGCCCTTGTGCCTAGCCTGCCCCCACCCCACCGGTGCCCGCCCCTCCCCCGGCCCTAGGAATGGGTGCCGGGCTGGGGCATTGCACCCCTTGACCCCGAGGTGAAGCCTCGCTACCAGTCCCTGTTCAGAGCCGGGCGCTAAGACCGCCTCTTAGCGCCCCCAGCTCCTGCCTTCGGGAGCCAGGCACTGAGAGGCAGCCGTCCCGCAGTGGCCCCTAGGCCTCCCCGCTGCACCCCGTAATGCAATTCACCGGGGCGGGGGAGGCGGCGGCGCCGGCGGCAGCACCCACGGCAGCGGCGGCGGCAGTGCCCCAACCCAGAGACGTCTAGAAAAAGGAGGAAAAATGGCTCCGAGCAGGGACCGCCTGCTGCACTTTGGGTTCAAGGCGACAGTGAGTGATAGAGGACGGGAGTTGGGTGTCCAGGAAGATGTGGGTGCCAGCTCAGGCCTCCGGTGAAGTGACTAGACTAGGGCTGGGGACACTAAGCCGAAAGCTCAGGTCCCGCGTGGGTCGGTGCGTGCCGGTGAGTCTTCGGAGCGGCAGGGAGGGTTCCGGTGAGGTTCCTTCCCTGTTTGTGCTCTCCTCGCCGGTCCGCGAGCACGCGCGCACCCGCCCCACAGCTCCCCCCGCACGCACGCACACTTGGGCACTTCCCTGCCTCGCCTTGTCCTGGTGGGCTCGCGCCCGGCCGCCCCACGCTCCGGCTGCTCGCGGGCTCACCGTCCGGGGCTGCGCCCGGTGGGGGAGGGGTGGGCTCGCACGGCCGCCGCGGCGGAGCGCTCCTCCCCTCCCCCGGCGTTCCGAGGCCCGGGCGGCTCTGCCCAATGAGGAGCGGCGTTGCTGGCAGGTGGGGAGTGTTTTTGTTTTGGGTTGAAGTTGAGGCTTTGGAGAGAACCGAGCTAGCGACTGGCAGTCGTCGCGGCCGCGGACGCCGCGGGCGGTGGTGGAGGCCCCACGGGACTCGAGCGGTCTGTCCTCCGGGTCGGACGGGCGGGCCTCGCCTGACCGCCGCCGCCGCTTCCCGGTCCCGGAACTCCCGGGCCTGCCCTGGCCCCTGTCTTTGCACTCCGCACGCCGCAGCGCCCTGCCCGGGCCGCACCCGCTGGCCCCATGAGGAGGGACGTGAACGGAGTGACCAAGAGCAGGTTTGAGGTGTGAGCTCGGAGGGGTCTCAGGCGGCGAGGAAGGCCAGCTCTCTCACCCCAAACAGTCGCCCTACCGGAGTCGCCTCCCTTGTGCGGCCCGCCACCCGCCCCCGGCGGGGCAGCAAGCGTCCTCCCCTGCTCGCGACCCGAAAGCCCCGCGCACCGGCACGCCTCGCCCTCCGGGAGGCTTGCTGCTGCCGCTTCCACCCGCTGGCCCTGGACGGGATTAGCCCTGGCGCCCTAAATCCCCCCTCCCCCATTACACTCAGCTTCCCATTCTTTGCCCAGCCCTTGGCTAGCTAGCCTCCTTCCACCTCGCAGTGAAAGCACCCGTCCCCGACTGGTCAGTGCCTGCTGCCTTCGTGAATCGTTTGCCACCTCCCGAGCGGGAATCGATGAGTTCTCGGTGGAAGTAGGAAGTGGGGGTGGTAAACTGGGGTGATAGAGACGACTGCTGGGTTTTTGGTCCTGTTTGGATATTGTTCTAATACTTCCTCTTCCCCGTTTAGTCTGTACTTTTGTGGGTCATTGTTATTGGTAACTTAGATATCTTCAGGGAATGTGAGGAAGGTCTAAGAGCCTTCGGAGAATTCACTTATGTTTTTGTTTTACGTTTGTTCTCTAGAGTGGGAGGTTTGTAGTCTTGAACAGTAGATCGTCAGAAAGCTCTTTAAAGAGAATTCATGGACTGAGAAAGGGATTCCTTTGGGAAGTATTGTAACAACTGATGAAATACAGTAGTATAATAATGAGCAAGAGAATTCATTGGTAGGCTGGAAGACAAAGGAACTTATACAACAAGGGTAAATGTTACTTTGCCTTTTCTGGCAGAGACTCAGGCTGACTTGGGGTCACTCCAGGCTTAGTGTACATCTCACTTGTGTTTTCCTCTCTCCTCCCCTCTCCCGTTGTATTTTTAACACTCAGTGTTTTCCTTCATCTCTCTTTGAAAGATGAAAACCAGGCAGAAGTTTATGGGCTTGGGGTGAAAGTCTTACCTAGGGATGGAACCTCTGTTTAGTCTTTGTATTTTTTAAGAGTTTGAGAAAAAATATTTAAAGTTACAACTAAAGATTAAGGTAGGGTAGCTGTGCAGGAAATTTAAATTCAGAGTTACAGTATTAAGTTGCAGTGAGGAGAGGAGAAAACCAAAGTCATTGGTTACATTAGAGTTTTATGTGTAACTTAACCACGGGGAGTAGGTGTGGGGGGGAGCATAATAAAAATTGTCTCTATAAGATGTTGTCGTGTTCTAAAGTAGAGAACCCAATAAGGATAACTTGTAGTGGTTTCAAATTCAGTATTACTGTAAAACCACTAAAGTTACTAACTAGACACTTGGCAGTTTTAGGGTTACTCAAAAGACCCAAATTGCTGAAAATCAAGAGGGGTATAACCTTTTGAATTGAAGTGAATTCTTTACCAATTTGCTTTCCTTTTTAAATTGTGGGATAATTAATGGGAAAGACTCATTCTCATTTGTGCTTTAAAACTACACTGCTGTTTCTTCCTTTCAAATATTCATTTGTTTTGTTTTTGTTGAGACAGGGTCTCAAGTAGTCCATGACCTTGAGGTGATCCTGCATCTCCCAAATGCTAGAATCACAGACTTGAGTTACCACGAGCTGCTTCATGAACTCTTAAACCCTCAAAATTGCCAGGCTGTGGTTTGCACGGCTTTAATCCCAGCACTCAAGAAGCAGAGACAGGCTGATCTCTGGAGAGTTCCAAGACACCCAGGGACACAGAAATCCTGTCACAAAATAAAAACAAAACAGCAATCCTCAGAGCTAAGAGAATCCTTTATAAAGGACTCATTATATCTAAGTAGCTTATTTCAGAATGAGAATTTTTGTGATTGATGAAATCTATACAGAAAATAATAGCTGATTTCAAACTGTGATCCTGACTAATACAAATGTAAGACTCTTGCCCCACACCAAGATGAGAGAAACTTATCTTTGCATACTTGATTCATTGTAACTGTTTTATGGGGAATGTTCTAATGTTGTCTTTGTGTGTTTCTTTGTTTTGTCTTTGTGGTACTGGGCACCCAACACAAGACCCTGCAAGAGCTATATCTCCTAGCCTTTGTTTTTTGTTTGTTTTTTTAAATGAGTTGTCAGTATGTAGTGCAAATTGGCCTGGAGCTCTTACCACTGTCTCTTCAGTCTCTTGAGTTCTGGGATTCCAGGCATGTGCCATTGTGTCCATTTTGGGTATGTTTTCTTTTATATATTTTTGAATGTTGTGGTCAGAGGCCACATGCTTTATATCTTACTCTCAAAGCCAGATACACAGAAAAGCTTTTATGTTAAACTGAGCCTAGTGACCGGACACCATAATCCTAGCACTTGGGAGACTTGAAGCAGGATTTGTCCCAGAGTTAGAATCCATCTGGTTTATGTACTGAGTTCCAAGCCAGCCTGAGCTATAGAATGAAGCCCTGTTTAAGCCTTGTGTCCTCCAATACTGCCCATAAAGGAAAAATGTAAAGTTAAAGCAAAAGAGGTCATTAGTTATATAAGCCAAATATGCAGCACCTATGGAAAGCCAAAGCAGGTGACTTTAGGGTAGAGAATGAATGAGATCTAGAGATGTAAAACTTCATGTTACTTTCTCTGTTACTTTGTGTTTTTATATTTAATTAAAAAATTTAAAGATACTTTTTATTTTATATATATGATTCTTTTGTCTGACAACAGAGGTCAGAAGGTGGCATCAGATCCCCTGGAACGGGAGTTAAAAATGGCTGGGAGCCACCATGTTGATATTAGAGACTGAGCCCATGTTCTTTCCAAAAGCTGCAAGTGCCCTTAACTACCAAGCAATTTCTCCAGTCCCACGTTGTTTGTGAGTCAAGGCTTCACACTGTAGCCCAGAAGAGCCAAAAACTCAGAGTGTAAACCAGGCTGGCATGAAACTTCCAACAGTCCTATTACCTCAGGTTACCCCAACAGCTATCTAAATTTTGGTTCTTATTCTGTCTTACATTCAAGAAAAGTTAAGACACCAGAGGTTAAGGTGTTCAAGCTGTGCAGCTTAACAGTAGAGGACCAAGAGTCTAATCTGTGGGGTGGGTTAGTTTTGGTTTTGTTTTTTTGTTTTTGTTTTTTGAGGCAGGGTTTCTCTGTGTAGCTTTGGAGCCTGTCCTGGAACTAGCTCTTGTAGACCAGGCTGGTGTTGAACTCACAGAGATTCAGCTGCCTCTGCTTCCCAAGTGCTGGGACTAAAGGTGTGCGTCACCCTGCCCAGCCTTTGTTTTTGATTTTAGAGATTTTGTGTGTGTGGGGGGGGTGTGGGTGTGTGGGTGCGCGCGCGCGTACATGTATGTGTACATGCATGGAAAAGGATCCACCTGGATCTAGAGTTCCAATCAATTATGAGCTCCCTGAAGTGGGTATTGGGAACCGAGCTTGTGTTCTTTCCAAGAGCATTTAAATGATCTTAACCACTGAGCCTAATATTTTCATATTGTTCTGGTTTTTAGTGTAACTCACCATAAAACCTATTATATGTGTGGAGAAGTGCTTTTCCTAAAATCCATTGAATATATCTTATTTTGTATATGCTGTCAAATTTATGAATCTGTCTTTCAGTTCAATTGTGTTAGCCCGCATTACCTTAACAATCAGCAAAATTAACAAGAGATGTTTAAATGTCTTGTCTTGCCTTTAGTTCAGACTGAGATTTTTTTCAGTTCATTCTCTACTTTGTTATGTTTTTAATAGGTCTGTATTGAAGATACCATAGAATTGGGGGAAAGTTCTTGAGTTTATTTTAAAAAAATCTTTGAAAAGCCATAATATTACCATTAACTGACATTAAACTATTTTATAATCAGTGCTTGGACACCATCGGTTAGGAAGTGAAAGGCACTGTTCTGGACATATGGAATCTATAGTCATTGTTCTTCTTTATACTTCATTGACTTTCTCATAAATATATATTACTGTGACACATTCATACTAGGTCTTGTCTTTGGTTTTTGGTTTTGTTTGTTTGGCCTTGTGTTATTTTGTCTAAAGTAACAAAAGTCATAGTATGGCACGATGAAAGAACTTGCTATACAAGTTTGGAGGCCTGGTTATTAACCTAGCTTTATCACTTAATTTGTCTGGTCTGGTGACTTTCATTTTTTTTAACTAAAAAAGGGAGTTAAAAGTAATTATTTAAGTACCTTTTGGTTCAGTAACCTGTGAATCTTTGACTTTAAAAAAAATAATAAACGTCCAAAGCCAGATGTCCTTGATCATTTCTTCTGCAACACTCTTACTTTGGATCATACTGGCATGGTGGTGTACACCTGTTGTTGCAGACACTTGGGATGCTGAGGTAAGAGGACCACTGGAGCCCATGAGTCAGAAATCAGCCTGGACAACATAGACCTGGATTCAAAAAGAAAAAGTTTGCAGCCTCAGTCTCACAATACTGCTGTGACTTTGATTTCAGAACAAAACCCCAAGCAAAGCATTTAAACACGTTTTTATTTCCTTTAGGTTTTATGTCCCTTGAAGAACACTCTGCATACTACCCATATCACCAATTCACAAATGTTTTTATTTTATGTGTATGAGTGTTTTGCCTGCTTGTATGTATATGCCCACATGTGTGTCAGTGTCCTCTGAGGCCAGAAGAGGGCTTCAGATCCTTTGGATCTGGGGTTACATATGGTTGTGAGTCACCATGTTGCTGGGACCTC